GCTAAGATGTCAAAGATTATTTTAACACAGGTATTTCCATTCTTGGTGTTGTAACAATACGATTCTTTTAAAACACTGCTTTTTGTGGAATTCTTCACATCTGCTGATTGTTTTCAGAAAAGCAGAAGGATAAAACTCCATTTGTGCAATTTTTCACCAGTTAACACAAGAAGTCTCTTTGTTTAATAAAACCCTGCACCACATGGGTTTTATTATTTCATGAATGTGTTCATGGAGGATGCCCTGCCCTACTTCAAATGCAGATGCACGATATTGAGCATCTCCCACTGTAATTTTTACCGTCTTCATGCAAAGATCCATGGGCTGATTTCGTCAGTGGTAGAAAAGAGTGGTAGAAAAGAGTGACCTAGCCAGTGAATTCTGTTGAGAGGCGTTTGCAATGTCAAGAAGCCAGCATGGTCTCTTCCCACACCTATTATCAGTCCTTGCTCAGCCTGCAAGGTACTCAGGAACAGTGTACACATTAGTGAATTAAACAGCAACAGGAATTGCCAGGTCTGGGAATTGCTGGATTGTAGTGTTGTGTTACCAAAATTGACGGGTTATACAACTAAGCTAGCAGAATGGTCCTGAGAATGCCTTTAGTCCGTGGCAAGGAGCTATCCCTCCAACTTTTCTTGAGGACTACTTGAAAGTTAGCACAAGGCAGGGATCAGTCCCAACAGACAGTTTTGCAAGCAGACACCCTGCTATGGAGGCTGAGAGACTTTAATTAGCATTATCATAGTCGGATGATAACTCTGGGCCAGAGAATAGACTCTGGCACTTTTTTGGTTTTTAGTATCATTTTAACCAGAGAGAAGGTGGACGAGGTGTGGGAAGTATGTCTGTTCTCTGCTGCTACTCCTGTGCTGCATAAGTTCCCTCAAGGAAAATATTTGATAAAGAAAATTAACATGGCACTGCAGATACTCTAGCTCCTGATAGGGCTGTGTGGTTTGGCCCAAAGACTAAAGGAGCTGTTGCCCTTAGGTGTTGGAGAGAACCTGGTCATATTAAGAAATGCATGTTGAGTTATTTTAATTTATGAATGTAGTTTCTAGAGTTTGTGTCTGTCTTCATCGGTATCTGAGTACAACCCCCAGCCTGGAGCACTGCTTTGCACAATTCCTTTTATTGCCTCAGATTTTTAAATCTGAACTGATCACTGTCAGCTTTTATTTCCTTTGGTTGCTGAAGCAGACCTAGCTGCAAACCAGAGAAATTTAGCTACTGATTCACCAAAATGAAGAACTGTGGGCCTTTTCACACATCACTCAGCGACTACCTGCATGTTTTGTCCTTGTGTGGTGTTTTTAGTTCTGAGCACAAAACACCATTTTAATAACGTGAGTGAAGTAGGAGAAAAAAGAGTTTTAATAAAAAAACACTTTTATTAAAAACTGCTTCAGAAAGCAGGAGGGTGTATTGTAGGAAATTCAATGCAAAAGTTCATGGGGAAAGTGAAAGATCTGAGTGAAGAGTGTGTTCCTTATTTTCCCTTTAGAAAACTGTTAATTTATTTAAAGTCCTCCCTTTGGCTTGCAAGGTTTTCAGTGGGACTGCGGCAGCAAACTGTTGTCAGTCTAAATTGCGTCCTCAGAATCGACTCAGTGACCCTCAGGCCATGGACTAGCCTCTGAAACTAAAATCATAGATGGATTTTTTTTCTCCAGGATTTCTAATTAGAGTAAACTCAGCTGCTTTCCTCTTTCTTTAAACACTTCTTTCGTGAAACTGAGACCCAGACAGAAGACGTCTTCCTTCCGTTAGTTTTCATTCTAGCTGATATTTTTCTCACACAGAAGTTGTGTTTTACCTCTGCCAAGTGGCTCCAACCAGCACGTCCCGAGTGGCACACAGTCCTATTTTACAACATCCAGCCTTTACCTCTCCTAACGCAACTGGAGGTGGGAGCTGCCACCTTGCAAGGGTGTCACGGGGAAGGACAGTGGTCCCTGGGTCTCAGGGGGAAGGGAGGACCAAGAGTGGAGGCTGGTGTTTCACAGGGAGGGGAGCAGAGCTCAGCTTGTCTCTGTGTGAGGCAGCGTTTGCTCCTGCTAGGATGCCAGCTCCTACCACAGAGGCAGAATATCGCCTACCAAATCACGGCTCGGTGGCAGGCAGGGGCTTGCAGCTCTCATCAAGTTTTGGTTAAATCTGGGAGCTCAGGGAGCGGGAGAGAGATATAGACTCAGCTTAGTGAAGGCAAGAAATCATTAAGTATACTCCAAATTGCAGCTTTTGCATTTCCAGAAGGTTTCTCACTCATAACACAAATTACAAGATACCACCTATTCTATGATACAGAAAAAGGTCTCTGACAGAAGACGTGTTGTCTTGAGCATTTGCTAAGCAAGAGGCTTTCAATTTTCAGCAGCAGTGGAAAGATGACTAATTTTCATAAACATTTCTGAAAAAAGCCATACATTCCGCATGACTTACTGAATATAAAACTTGATAATGTTGAGGAAGAGGAAGACACACATGCAGACTTTTACATCAGCTGCTATATTTTGAAGGATCTTTGAAATTAATACTTGACAATTTATTTGTAAAGTATTACAACAGCCAGTCAGCAGAGATTTCATACAAAAACTAGGAAGTTTCAACCTTGATGTAAAAAACCTCTTAGCTTTAACCTTGGAACAGAGACCATGCTGCTGTTTGGTCAGAAGCTTTTGTGGGGATTCCTAGCTGCTTTCCTCTCTTAGCAGGCCAAGGTGCACAAAACTTGTGAAAACAACATAAAATGAGAATGGCAAAACTTGGCTTTCTTTTATATCATGGCCATTATGAGAGATAATGTAAAGGAGCTTAAATTGGGTGTATGTACCATAGTTTCTAAATGCTTTATTCTGACCAAAATTGATTAAAATGGCCATGCCATAAAGGAAAACTAAGTCCCAAAAGGAAATATTAGGGATTTAAATTTTATGTGTGTATATTTTACACACATGTAAAATAAATATATTTTGACCCTTAATGCTGGCTTTTTCCTCTTCAGTAGAAAAATGAATGCTTAGGAAATACATATTAAGAATATATCTCCATAGTCTCCAAATGGTAAGGTCCTTAGTAAATAGAGATATGAACAAACCAGTATAATTTTATGAGTATTAATCTTTATTGAATAAATGTATGTTTTAGAAAATAAGCAAACATTCCTAACACAACAAGAAATACTTCTAGTTTTTTCCTACTGTGAACATTAGCTCATGATGCTGTATATCTCATACAACTTGTGCACTTATTCCAAAAGAATAACATTATTTGATTACCTGGTGAGTGCGTTTTAGTTTGAAGGCATGCCAGAATTTTACTAAAATGCTTATTAAAATAACGTGGTCTCAAGTTTTGAAAACCTATGTGGTGCAAACCTGACCCAAGTTCAAAAAGAAACAATAAAACTCATTAGACAATACTTCATCAAAGCTAATATTTTCAGTGGTTGATGCATAAAACTAAAAATTCACAAGTCATAATCATCAAGTATCAACACGCTTTTTCCATAGTAAGACGTGGTTTACATACACTGGGAGCATGTACAACGACATACAAATTCATAAGGCAAATTTTGATTCGTTTGCTCTATTGTCATGCTACTGGTATCTGTTTCCAGCATAAAAGAATTTCAAATAAATGTTTTCCTAACCCCACCTTGTTATACATTAATGGCAGGCAACATCTGGTTAAAATGTAATGTCCGTTAAAATGTAATTCATATTTCACCATGTGTGGAGAGCCAGAATGTGCAGAAGATGCATTCAGACTTCAATATTGTCTTAGATTATTTGATGCTGATTCCAGTGAAAAGAAAATAGCAAGACAGGATTTAGGGTACCCAAATTCTGAAAAGCCGTTAGCAAATATTTATGCTGAAGAATGGCTCAGTTTACTGTGATCAGACCTTCTGAGCCAGCCAACGTTTGCTTTCACCAGTTAAATATTGAACGGGGTTAGCTGCTGCTTTGCCAGGCTGCAATGTCTTTTCCTGAAATACTGGTTCGTGGAAGATTGGTAGGAAAACTGTATCAACAACTTCACTGTTAAGTAAATATGCAATATTAAAAGATACATCCTCCTAAACCAGCTCCAAACTCCACAAAGTGTGTGTTTCTCTGTTTGTGCTGTTGGCATATCCCAGCCTTTACAGCATGAATGCCTCTGCTTTGACACCTTACATTCAGTTACACCAGGCTTTAGCAATTTGAAGGCTAGGAAGAAACATCACAGTTCCCCTGTCTGATCCCCTGCACTCCGAAGGCTAATTTACCTTAGATTTAAGTTGCTAATTAGGCAAGAATTGCTACCACTCTTTTTCTAAAAGAAAGAGAGCATAAATATATACTAAAAATCTATGAAAAATGATACCAGATACATCTTCAGAGGTTTAAGATGGGAATGTGATAAACCTGAATCCTTGACATCTTTATTTTCACATTTTTTTCTTCTATTTGTAAAGTTCATTCTAGTCCAGTAGAAACATCTTCCTTTAAATCTGGTCTCAACTGAGCTTATAATGTAATTATAAGCTTATTTATAATTCATTCAGGCCTGTTTCCATGATGCAAACTTAAATGAACATGTAGTAAGAACTGAATAAATGAACAGAAAAACATGAATCAATTGTTCAGTTCCTGACATATACTTAACTAAAGTGTATTTACAGACAAAATTTACTTTACTGCGCAAACTGATCTTTAAATTATTTAAACTCCTTTTCCTTTGTTTTTTAGTCACTTTGGAGAAGAGAACAATGGCAACATTTAATGATTCGCTAGATGCAACCCAGATGACAATACATCTTCTGTGAATCTGTAAGTGTCAACTTCAAAATGTATTTAGCTCATCTCTGAAACACAAATAGCAATGCATTGCATCAAAACAAGCCTTCTTGATCTCTCAATGTTTTAACGCTATTTCAGAGGCCAGAGAAAAACCAGTTCCAAAAAAAGAAGTTTCCTTAGGTAGATATCTATTTGGATTTTTTTCTTTTTTTACTTGGTTTCAAAAAGAAGAAACCCAGCGAATGTAGAGAAGCGTTGATGGTCCCCGTGGAGGGCTCCATTTCCCATTCGCAGCCAAACTTCATCTCCCTTGGCAAGTTTTAGCACAGCGCTGTTTCCTGAAGTGTCTGCTTTCCCTTTTGATTCATAGCTAAGGATGAATATTTTAACAAGTCAGCTTTTTGTTTCTCAACAATGAACAAGCAAACAAATTTTAAAAAAAGAATCCAAGAAAGCACATTGTTCTCCTGAGCAAAACTTCTTTGAAAGGCTTGCACAGTTTTTTTCAGCTTTATGAGGAAATTTTGGCACCTTTCTGCATTTGATCTCCCAGTCAAATTTTGCACCTTACCTAATTGCATCATTTAATTCTTTCTGAAATTCTGTAAGTTTGACTTATGTATTTTTTTCCAGGGCACAGGAACAAATTTATTGTTTAGAATAAAACACTGCTCATTCATCACAACACCCCAGATTTCCTGTGATGCCCTTTTTCCCTTGGATTCATCTCAGCTAATTTTAAATGCCTCCATGTCAGGAGCCTCATGTGACTCGAGCCCCTGTGCTCCCAGCACAGGCGGTGAGCAGAGGCAGGCAGCTCACTCCATCCTGGGGCCTTGCGTTGGAACGTAGGCACGTTTGATGTGGGCTAACCTGCTGGTTTTGTGTGAGCGTTGGTTCCCTTTCTTCCACCTGTTGCCTTTTCTGACATCAGTGCTTCAGGGATAAAAATTGGGCATTTTTTCCTTTGCAGGAAAGATCTACTGGGAATGAATCACCCTTTGGTGGTGCTTCAGGTACAGGCTGTTGAAGAAACCTTGACAGATTAAATGAACCTGCTGTCGTCTAAGTGCCTAAAATCCAGTGTGATCAATCTAAGATTTTGTGTCTGTTTGTTCAGGCTGAGGAGAGAAGCTTGGTTTTGGCATCAGACCTTTGGTGGGTATTAAAGAAATAATAGTTTTTTCCAAACACATTTTTTTTCAGATGTCCATCTGGCTATGAGCTTCTTGACCTGACCCTTGTGGAAGTTGGTAAGCTAGAAGTGAATGCTATCTTGCTCATCCTTCAGCTAAAATAAAGAGTTCAGAAACTTTTTATTCCAAGTGTGCTAATGATAACAAAGCCAGTAAATGGAAGACCTTTGCTTCTTACTCATCCTTACCACTGCAATTCTTCTCCACCTTTAAAGTAAATTGCTCTCCCCTAATCTTTAACAAGACAGTTACTAGTCTGTCTGACAGACAAAATGAGGCTGAAGATACATTTTAGCAGAATGACAGCATATTACCCTTGGACTCCAGCCCTGACCTGCAGTGCTAATTCCTTTCCTCTGAGCTTTTAGAAACTTGGGATCAAGGATGAATTTTAAGTCCAGGATCTGTGGCAGGTATGATCCAAATTTGCAAGTTGAGGATGGCAAAATACAGTAGTTTTTCTTTGCTGGTTATTTTACACTACATAATTTCTAGAAAAAATTAACAATTTAATGTGTCTTGAAATGTGAGCAAGCTATCACATCTGTGCAAACATGTCTTTTGCATTAAAATGGCCCGGTCCTTCACTTACCTATACAAGCTGAAAACTGTATTACCATTATGCATCAGATACACGTACACTTCCTCCACATCTTCATGTTTCATCATATTGAAGGTGAAGAAATACACCCCTGAAAAGATTAGCAAATACAACATGTTTGCTTCATAGAGGGAGGTAGTGATGTACAAATTTGTGCTTCTTGCTCAGAAAAAACAACAACCAAGGCCAAAATTACCTCCCAGTTGTCAGTGGGTATTTTGCTTCTGCTTATAGGGTGCCAAAATCTGATTCATTTTTATTCTACACATGGCAGGGGTTCAGCCACATCCTGTTCCAGAGAAATGACTGTATTTGAACATGGCAGGACCACTCATCCCTTGCTTCTCACTGAAAGGGCAGTTTCCCAGAGGCTGAGTCTAGTGACCCCTCTCTCACCTTTTTTGCTTACCTTCTTGCCCCTGCTTTCTCTCAAAAGCGCAGCCTCCAGGCTAGCCAGGGCTCAGCCTCAGGGGCTGCAGATAGCCAGCACGTTGCCCAGATCTGGCAGGGCATTAGTGGTTTTAGCAGCACCCGCTGCTGCTCACCTGGCCGTACCGCATCCCGAACAATGCAGACATAGCCACCGCTTTCTCTCCTCGCACAACACAACCTTACCATCACTGTTTTTCTTTTTAGTTCTTTCTCTGGCTCAAAGGTGCAGAGCAACCATATTATGTGTCATAAGCTCTAAAAGACTCCCCCAGACAGGAAGACAAGTTAGCGGTTCCTGAACAGTAAGTCTGCAGCACTGACCCTGGAATGGGAGCTTGGAGTTTGCATCAAAGTCAATAAAACATTGTGAGTCAAAGTTTACTGACATCCACATATACATTAACCTCCAAAGGAAGCAGCTGTGAGGACACACACCCCTGTCAGTCAGATGTGCTACAGCAAGTGTGGAGGGCCTGACTTTAATTTAAAATTTAATTTAATATCATTTCCCATACCAGTGAGTAAATGAATGCCAGGGTGAGAAAGGCCAAGTGGAAGAAGGTGGTTTCAGGCTTTGCTTAGACATGTTTTTGGTTATGGCCCTGCCTCCCCATCTGCTATTGTTCTTCCTGCACCACAGCTGCCTAAAATGGGGGATTGATGCAGATGAAAAATAACTTGGGAAAAACTGCAATGCCCCATTTCCAGCCACATATCTGTTGCAGGCCAGCTCACAGCTGAACTGGCATGAGGGACAGTGGGGATGAAGAGAGCGACTGGAGGCAGGAAGTGGAGGAGGTGACTGTGCAGCTGCTGCTGCTGCAACATCAAGGTCATGGTTATCTCATCACAATGGCTGAAGCGCTAAAGGTCTCAAAGTAGATGGCCCTGCTCCCTCCCCAGCTCTGGCCATGCCTCTTCCTCCTGCCTTTGTGCCAGCACTAGTCTCACTGGCTGGCAAGCCCTCTCTTGGCTTACTCAGTTTCCAATTTAATTTTTCCTGAAAGTAGATCACAAGAGCTATGCAGAGCGAGTCTCATCAGTGCCTTGTGCCAAGGCAGTTAACTAGTTTCTCTTCATTATTGACCATGCTCTCCATATAGCTCCCAGAATTGTGGTTTGTTTTTTTTTTTTTTGCAGACACTCACCATTCACTGGAGCACCAAATCTCCCAGTCATGACATCAAAAAAATTCCCAACGTTGGTTTCGACACTACTGAAGATGATCCCACTGTTCTGGTTGCTGAAGTGAGTAGCCATAGAAGCCATGAATGCGACCTGCGAAAATGCAGTTCTGATTCAGGCAGTTGTTCACAAAACGCACATGTGTAGAGGAATCAGCTACAGAATTTTTTCCTGTATTTGCAGTCTGTTTATTTTCCTGCCAGAGATGTTCTTCTAGGGCCTGCTCCAAGACCATTAAACTCCAGTCACAAAACTCCTATTGAATGAAACTGGAAGAGGACTAGGCTTCTTACATTCAATTGGACTATTCATGAGTGTAAAAGTAAACGTATGGGTAAGTGTTTGCAGGTCAGAACCTTCGTTTGGGATTTTATTTACTTTTAAGTCTCTCTGGAATGATGCAACAGAAAACTGGTATTGAAATGGATGGTGTTTCTGAAAAAAGTTAATTAGTTAATTAGTTTCTATATATTCCCCAATGCATTTAGACTGGATATTGCTTTTAACTGAATGTGTGAAATAAATAATGCTCAGTAGAAACCATACACATTAGTGTTGCTTGCTAACTACCTTCAGAGATACACTAAGCGTTTTTATTAGAGGTCCTCTAGAAGCGCAGTTACTGAGACTCAACATTCAGTGCTTTTTCTCATTCCAGTTGCCCTGTACCCTCAGTCACGACCACAGAGGGTAGCAGAAACCAATGTAGGAAACTAAGAAAGTGAAAACTGTGCTTCAACTTCATGTTACACTTCTTGCAGTGAGATCTACTGGTCGTGGAAAATGTTTCATAGGAAGCAGTGCCAAACCTCCTGCACTGGACAATTCAAATTGCCCTCAGCAAGATACCAGGTAATGACCCTGCCAACGTGCATGGGCCGGGAAGGGGGTTATCTCTTCTGTCAGTCTGTGATCCCCCCCATCTGGCTGACAGTAAACAGGGTACAGGCAGAATTGCTGCACCTGCATGCCAGAAGGTCACAGTGACTTGGCATTTTATCTCTTAACATCGTAGATGAGAAGTGCTCAACTATAGTTGTGACTGCCCCTTGCAAAAACAACATTTTTCATGAGATTCCAGCTATACTGGTATTAAAGAAAAAAACAACCCCAAACTTCTGTTGATTTCAGATCCAAATGAGAACAAAACCAAAATGGGCAAAATCAAATGCAAGTCCAGATCCAACAATGGAAGTCATTAGCCATCTGCTCAGAAATTTGAGGAGCTCCAGATGTGAGCCGAAAGCTTGGGCTGATTTTCCTTATCCCTGCATGGATGCATTTTCTATAGCAGCAAATTGTTAACTTCTTGCTGCTCAGCCAGTATCACATCAAAGTTCATGATGTGTTAAAGGAAAGCAGCTGCACTGGCAGCTTGATGGAATTTATTGCTTTTTGTCTGGATTCCATTTCATGTTCTCTTTGATACCAAGCTGCTTTTCTTGGGCTGCTCAGAAGAGTTGAAAAAGATTTCCTTTCTCCCTAGGTCTCATTTTGAACTAGCAGATCAACATGGACATGCCAAGTCTTTCAAAATAATCCTGTACTTAAAACAGTATTGTATTCAAAAAAGTTTTCTTCTCTACCCCCCCACTCTAAAATTCTTAAGCATGATGTTAACAAGAAACGATATGCTATACAATGTAAAGAATTTTTAAACACATCTGTTAAAAATAGTGATGGAATTTTACTTGGAAGTAGGTATCGCAATATGAGCTTTTGTTATTCATCCTCTTTCATTATTCAGTTTTTAATTAAATTACTACCACTATCTTTATGTAAGAAAAAATTGCTGATAGCTCATTTTAAAATTGCAAAAGGATTTATGTTGAATGTAATTAAAACAAAAATGTTTTGAAGATATTCAGCTATAATGTTAATTCTGCTTTATTACAAAGATCCAGCAATTTGGGGAACTACTTTCATTGTGAATTTTATTCTGTGCAATTATCCCATCTTCATGCAACCTAGGGTGGAGAATTCAAACATACATAAAACCAGGAAATCCAAAGCCATTTTCCCACACTGCACACCTTGGTTATACTGTTGATTTTGCTGTTAATTTACCTGCTTTTTATGAGATATAAAACATATATGAATGACTGTTGTTGGGAAACAGTATCCTTCAGTTGAAAGGTGTAGATCTGTAAATAGATCAGAAGTTCAGTTTTCCCCATAGTCAGAGTGTTTGGAAGTGGGGTTTTTTTGTGCACGTTTGCCATATTCCATTTTGTCCCTTTTGTGATGAACTTGGTTTGGGGGTACAAATCAGACCAAGACTAAGGCACTTCCATTAAAGTGTATATGTGTGAATGAGGATGTAAACTCCCTTACAGTTTCTAGAGATCTATCTCCTATGTGGTGTCTGAAGTCTCACTTGCCCAAAAGTAGCAGTGACTGTGAGATGAAGCTGATCAGCTCTTCTAGATACTCAGTAATTGTAAAGGGAGCTTAGATGCTTCCCTTACATGTAGGCTCTCCGGAGCTGAATCTGACTGCAATCACTCGCGCACAGAAATGCACCTAGTGCCATCTGAAGTGCTTTAAGATTCCCCCACATGGGGCTGGCTGATCTGACCTACAGAAGTCCCTTCCACAGTGGCAGCAGGAGACCAGGAGGGATAGGTCTCAACGTCTTGCCATGCATCTAAAGCTTGCCTTTAGCACCTTAGCTGTGCTATGTCACGGCGATAGTCAAGTCTTCCTGCTATTGCAGATGAATTGCTCATACATTGCTACACAGCGGTATACAGTGTGGACAACTCTTTTAAATCCCTTTGCAACAGCAACCAAGGGTCTTAGTTACTCAAGTCTTATTTACTTTTGGTTGCCTTAAGAACATGACTACATCATGTTGCTCCTTTACTGCAGGTGCATATGTATACGCATAAGCTCTCCACCATTTGCCAGATTCCAGGGACATGAAGAAGCTCTAATGCAATGGGACTATGCCAACACAGTGTTGAGCCCAAACAAATATATCCAATCACTCAGCAGGGCCTGTCAGCTCAGGCTTGAATCCATGTTTTAATACTCATATGGCTTTTGGGTGGTTCATTCATAGGCAGAACGTACATGCTTCTCAACATATTTAAGGTATCTAGACGTACAAAACCACAGATAGCTACTGAGGGGTATTTTTCAAACCCCTCAGACTTCTGTCTGCCCTCAGAGGTTTTGACCCCATACTTTGAGGAGTTGGATAGATGTGCTTCTGAGAATCTCTCAAAGCCTGACTGACCTTAGAAGCATGGGCCTGAGTGACTCCTTTACTCTTCTCATATGCCATAGGAAGTGCAGTTATGTATGTGATACAGCTTGATAGAAAAATGTTAGTCACTGCTATTCTCCTTTAATGACCCAGATACTGGCTTTCTACCCTAAAAGGGAGCCATGTATGTTTCTTCCTGCCCATTTCTCAGCTGGATTCTTGCTCTAAAGAAAGACTAAGCCCTGATGTCTTTCTTTTCCAGGAAGATGTGGCAAAGCACATTTCCCAGTCACGACAAGGGCTATATATGTCCCTCACTCTATTAAGGGGCATTTTCTTCTTAAGTATGTTACAGTAATTAGGTGATGTTTTTCAGAGAAGAAAACCATAACCTGAGAACTGCTGCAGCCAACACAAGCCAGAGATTTTGTACCTGTAGCTCTGGGGGAATCCCAGGGTAACCCTTCTCGCCTTTGGGTCCGTGATGGCCACGCTCTCCCCTCGGTCCCATATCTCCTTTGTCTCCTTTCTCACCTTTGGCTCCTTCCTGGCCTGTTGCTCCATTATTTCCATTGTTTCCATGATTTCCTTAAAGGAAAGAGAGCTTTCTGTTTAAGTTGAATAATTTCATATAATGTATTTTAACAGATAACTGAGACAGGGTCCTTTTCCACCAGTTTGCAACACATGGACTTTTCAGTACCATAAAATCCAGACTGAGCTGCAATGGGTAAGAAACAGCTGTGTGGTTAAGCTGAAGGTAAAGGTTTTGATGAGCAAGGTTCCAGAAGGACCTAGATTGATGTTTAAGAGTTAACCCTCATGCTGCCTTGTTGTTGGTGTACAAACTGCTGATATCTCAAGTCATTGCATTACTGGGGAGATGTGCAAGGACAAGACCTCAGCAGATGTGAGGCTCAAGGAAAGCAAAAGCCACTGCCTGTTGACACATACCAGGTAGCCTGCATAAACATTCTGGCTTTTCCTTTTGTGTAAAAACTTATTTCCTGATAATTTAAGTCAATTGTGATAGGATAAGATAATTTTGAATAACAATTTGCTATCTTTAAAACGTGTCTACACAAATGAAGAATGGCTGTAGCCTTAAACTAACTAAATGACCCATCTGTGCCAAAAATGGGAGAATGTGCATTCTTAGGGTGCTGGTTAGATTGAAGGGGTTGATTCATTCCATGTTCCTGGATTTAAAGAAAGTAAAAATTTTTATAATGAAGCTTTTCTGAGATGGCTTCTTGTAAAAAGGGTCATTATAAAAACATATTCCTGTATCTGCGGCATTACTTATTTCCTGATTTTTACTGAGGAAATTACTATGTGACTGACAAAAATTTTAGATTGGCTTGAATCACTGAGCAATTATTATGCCTACTTGAAGCAAAAGTCTGACCTTTCAATTAATTTCTCAGGGGATTAATTAGTGTTATCATTGTTCTAATTCTATCTGAACACAAATTAGATTATTCCCCACTCCGCTTGTTCTCTGATTAGTCACTCTGTTTACGAATTTACAAGAAGATGGTGTTGTTTGAGATCAAATCTAATGATTTATTCTTTAGAATTTTTATATTGAGAAAAAAATTCCTTCAAACAAGGAAGCTAAATGATGTAAGGAATTAAGCGAATTCTTGTTTGGGTAGAGAGATCAATAACTCTTAAAAATAACAAGGATGAGCCCTCATGTAAAGCCAGAACTACTCCTCTACAAGTTCAGAACAGCAGTCTGCAGGAAATGTTTGGTTCAATCAAGGGTAAAGCAGCTGTTGTTGTTCCACTTATGGGCACAATGATACGAAATGCAGCAGATGAAGGAGACAGAGAAACTGCAGGCTGCAGATGGTTGCTGTTGACCATGTGTTTGTGGCATCCTGTGGTGACGAGAAGGTGTGACCGAGATACATCCTCACATGAGGAAAGGGCAAAGCTGGGAATAGGCTGTGTCCCAGTAAGTCCACTCCACTGCAGCCTTGAAAGTGTGGGTCTAATGGAAAATTGTGTCTCGCTTCTAAGAAACCAACAATTTATTAATATGTAATGCAATATTTCTGCACAAGAGGCGTCACCGTTAGATTTTTCTTACTTCTGTAATGGTCAATAGTATTTTTATAGCAGGTTGATGCATTAGTAGCTTACAGCAGGCTAATACAAAACATGCCTATGATCTTTTTTTGCCTAATACCCAAAATATGTCAAAGTAACAATTTATTTCAATATTTTGCCAACTGAAGCTAGTTCTTGAAACACTTTATTCAGTCAGATTTACTTTCATAACAGTCAGATTTAACTGCTACTGTAAACTGTTTCTACCAAAAATCACTGTTTTTTTTTTTTGATGTATCATTATGTATCATGTATGTTGCTGTCAGTACATTTGTTAGAAGAATTATTAAATTTCATTTTTATTGTGATACAGAAGACATAAGCTTTTGAGACAAATCTGTCAGTCAGTGATATGTTCATTTACGTTATACATCTGCTTTAAGAATCTTGATTTTCAAATCCCTGAAGGTAGGTCTGTAACAAATGTACACCAACATGCAACTATCTTCTTCCTTTCTCTAGGCTCTTCTTCTTCTACACCAATATCAGATTGAAGTATACCCTTTTCTTGTGTATCCTGTTCTTCTGTGTGCATTTTTAATTGCCAAAGTGTATTTTTTATTATGGAAGACAACAAGAAAGAAGGGAAAGAAAAAAATTTCTATGAGAGAATAGAAGCATGTGTGTCTCTGTAAAGGATTGCCTAGCAGTATGCTAGATGAAAAAAACCTCTTGAATATACAATATTATATTGTATATTATATACAGTAAGTACACAATAGCATAGCTGGATATTCAAATGTGATAGCAGTAATCAACTCCAGGGAACAGGTTCTTCCAACTTTAACGGCAGCTTTATGCTGGTTTAAGAGGAGAGACCATTTGCCCTAGAAATGTAATAAGATTACTTTCAGTATGAATTTGTGAAATCTGAATTTTAATAACAAACGGGTTTTCACTGGAAAAGACTTTAGAGTCCAACTGAAAATCTCTGTCTCCCCAGAAATTCTAGAAAAACTTGTTTCTGAGTCCATCCCCAAATACTGATGTTTGGACCATTCTCTCATATTTCATAGAATAGCCTGTAATTTACAGCCTGTAATTAGACTGATCGAACAATCAATCAAACTTCATCTTTACCTGGCATCCCAGGGGGCCCAGGAGGTCCTGGGGGCCCTTGGTAGAGTCGAACTCCAAAGTCACCACGGCAGCAGGAGCTACAGTCTGGATTCTGTGGTCCGGTTTGTGGGGGCTAAGTGCACAAAAATAAGATTTGAATAGCACATTCACGGAGGGCATCAATCATATGCATGTCGATTACAGGGTCTTCATTATATATTCTCTGTTTATATATTTGCTAAGTTTTCAAAACATTTCTTATCTGGGCTGAAATCTCCCATACTTAGGTTGTCCCTGAAGATATTATTTTTAGAAGACTTAAGGAAATAGCTCTTCAAATGTTCTAAGAACTATACGATTATTATATAAGAACAACTTGTTCTGTTGAATAATGAGGGTTTTGAAAATAAAATAATACCAAGTAATGAAAATTTAGTGAATATTTCACTTAGGTTCCTATCCTGCTTTTCACTGATCCCACATTTCAGCTGACCTTTCTTGACAAACAAGCCTAAGGACACAAGGGACTTCATTTGACCTTAAGTAACGAACTCCACTAGACATAAAGAAAACTGTGCTGGAATACCCAAAGGACATGTTCAAAAATGTGTATTGAACAATACCAAGCACACCCCCAGAATTCATTAATTTCAAGAGGCTTAGGAGTTTTTGTTTATGGATACAGAAAACCCCTTTCATGCCACCAAAATACTGTAACTCCTCCAATGGGACAGACACATGATGTCTGAGGGTGGAGCTACCATGGGAATGAAGGTTGATCTGACAGCTCAACAAACATGCTTCATATTCAAAGAGTTATGGAAATGTTAAGACTTGCCAATGGGCAGAGGGGATTCATATTTATGATATTTTGGTCAATACTATGTTTTTTACCTTAATTCTGGATAAAGTCTATATTTCATGAGAAAAACGTGTTCTGTCTGTTGGACTGTCTGTTCCTGGAGAACCTGTTCATATCTTTCTTGCTGTTTTATCCCTCCCAGTTTTTAGGAAGAACATAACTGGAATCACCAGACACACTGTTTAAAGCTTTCCTCATATGAGAGAAGACATAGCCCTGCTTTCCGCTCATTTTCAGTCCTTGAAGGGCAGCCAAATACAAGAGGACTGGAATTGTGCAAGCATTTTGCACCACCTGAAATGCTGATGTTGAGTGTTGATATTAAAATCTCCAGCTCTTTTTTAATAGTGCTTCATAGTCATGCTAAATGAGAAGGCCAGCTATATACACACCTGTCAAAAGCTAATAAATCATATCAACCTAGAAATAGCCAAAGACTTAGAACTGTGGATTATAGGTGAGGGAAGACATGAATCCAGAAAACTGGACTGCATGTGAGACTCCCTCTGCGCAGGTAAAATTTGGTTTTTTACCCAATGCACTGAAATCCTCAATGACATTATCAGCTAACCAGCTATGCTTATCATAAAATACGTACTAGTACTGGTCATAACCAAATGCTATTTGGCATTTATCTCTCGAAAAGCTCGGCAGGTTATTACATGTGAAATAAGAAAAGTCCTGCCAGCCTGGTTGCATGAGAACAGTCCCACTGACTTCAAAATAATGCTTATGCAAGTCATAAAGTAGTATTGACTTATTATCCTTACTGATCCTTTGACTAGGAGGAAAAAAATGTTCACAGTCAGCTGCCAAGAACTATCCTGTCTTTTAATCTCTAAAAACAAATACTTCATGAAGAGTACATTTAAAGGAAAAAACTGTTCCTGAAGTAAAATTACACTCAAATGGGACAAAGGGATTAATTACAACCTACTTGCCAAAGGTGTCCTATGCAGCCATTTGCACATAAATTTCATTGCACAATGAATCTTTGGCATTGCTCTCAGAACATGAATATGATTTAGGAACTTGTGAAATGCATCTGCCACATTGATTCCCTAATACAGATAGAAGACTGGAAGTATTTCTGAGGCTATTTGCTGAGTTTCCTATGATTTAATATTTAGAAGGCAGTTCTAGGCAACGGATGGTCTATAAAATTCCCTTAACTTAAAGCTGTGAATAAATCATAATTGCAGACCCAGCCCTTTTTCACTTTCTGATTAATTTTATGGGTTTCTGTTATATTGTCTAAGACAACACAGAAGACTAGTAATGTACATCCACCATTCTTGGCTCCTGTTCTGAATGCAAAATAGCATGTCTCTGTGGGCACTAAGGCCCTCCATGCCCCTTCACTAGCAAAGAATTAAACAGACCAAAATTGCCAAAATTCAGGGTAAAATACCAGTAGGTTGAGGGATACCTGAAGGTTTTCAAAAAGCAACCTGAAAAGGAAGAATGTGTCTGGCATAGCTCTCCCCAGTCACTAAGAGTTCTTGTGCTTGAAAAATGCATAGTATATTTTATGTTAAGTTACCAGCAGCATGGAAACTGGCCTTGTACCCAGTGCAGAAAAACCCAATGTGTGCCACAACAGGGAACAGGACCTTTAAAACGTTTTAGCAAGAGGGTGAGATTCTCCAGCCAGAGTTAAGATAACAAAGTAAGTAGGGACTTAGGAGTGAAACAGCTTTCAGATAGCTCAAGGGGAAGGGAGAGGTTTGACATGAATTAAAACATGTCCATGCCACCTTTGTTCCTCCTCTGCTTGGAAATCCCTGCGGTCTAGAGATGGAAAATACCTATTGCGTCAGCCACTCTGTGATGGATTATCCCTGTCATGCATCTGCCATTTCAGTAAGCCAAAAGCTGCATCATTTCCCTAGCAAAGATTGCTTTTTAGAGAGGGTCTGGCAGGTAAATGGCTGTCATCAGCTGTATTCAGACTAGCTAGGCTCAATTTTAATGTCACAGCCTCTTTCCCCAGCAGGCAACTCCAAATATGATTGCATCAAACTCCTTAGACTTTGATGCAATGCACCCCAAACGCAGTCAGACTTTCTGTGGGGGAGATTCTGACCCCTAAAAAAGTTGTAATTTGGTATTAAATCCTGAAATATCTGAAATTATGTTGAGGTAAAGGGCAATCTTCTTTTAGTACCAATAATACATGGTCTGTAGTATGCAGCTGCACAATTCTCTTTGCAGTAAAGAGGTAAGCACATACTAGCTGGCTCATTGGACTATATACCTGAAGGTTTACACTGTTTATATACTACAAGTGCAATTTAACATACCTACAGTTAAATATCCATTTTGCTGAGTGCACCAGAGGAACATATAACTGCTGCCCAAGAAATACGAAATGCAAAGCACTATAAAATTTAAATACAGGGAATATAGTGGTATATTAAACATATTCCCATACTTGGATGTGTTTCAGTTCTTCAAGCCTAGAACGTGATTAAAATCAAATGTCCTCTCTGTTTATCATGAAGTAAGTTATTATTCAACATTTGTCTGCATGTCCATGATTTTTGGAATTCAAAATACCATACTTTGCTCTGAAAGAGTTTTAAAAACCAAATTATAAAGGGTGAACTATACAGAACTCAAACATGTGTATCAGCAATAAGAACAAAACACTCACATTCTTGTTGTTTCTAAAAAACATCAATCAACAAAAGCTTCATTTGAGTGGAATTTTTTTTTGCCTAGTGCTAGAAAAACTTCATATTCTGCCATTCAGATTTTTCATTTTAAATTTGGATGGCAATTTTTTATGTATAATCAAATTATGCTGTTTTCCCTTTGCTGTGAGAGCTAATGACTATAATATCCAAAATGCCATGGAAAAGGCATAAAAAGATTCACAGTTTAAAATGCAGATACTACAGATGATTTGGAGTTTCATTCTGAGTCTTTTTTAATCTGAAACTGTCAAGCTGATTTATTACATCTACTCATTACATTAGTATCTGTTTTTTTCAAGCTATTCCTTAAAATAAAATTTTTGAACACTCAGAATTTCATTGTTTGTCTCAAGCTCAAAAGAATATACCTTATGTACATAATTTTCAAGTAAAGTTATTCTTTGATAATTGAATCTTTCCAAATGCCTCTACAAATTCTGTTGTTTTCCTTCACATCCAAATGAGTTAAGAGAATCTAAAGCTTTAATGTATTAAATAAGTAATACCTTGAAATAATTGAGAGACTGTATATCAGAACATATGATTGCACAGGATCACAGTTTCAGCAAAACCAAAGGCTGCTGTCTATGTTGAAACCAGTGTCCCCAACCACTGCTGGTTCTACCAGCTCATTAAAAGATCCTGTAAAGCAACTCAGCAAGATACAGACCAATACACAACCTTAATAAAAATAATTTCATAAATATACCATTAATAATCTTAGCAAAAAAAATAAAAGATCTCATTAGCTTTAAAAATATCTTTAGAAGATTAATACAGAGTACCTGGACTCTATCTGAGGTAGTCAGTTCTACATCATCTACCTCTGGTCTCAGGACTTTTTGGTCTGTAGAAGTGCTATTATCAACAGTCCACTCTATAAGTTGACTCCGCTGTTTCAATATTTCCCTGCTTCTGGAACCTTTATGGCCAGTCTGGTGGTGACTTTGCAATACTTTGGCCACTGGTTTATAAGATCTTCTGCTCACCTCCATGTATTCATCTTGACACAGGCAAAATGGAAGAAAAAATAAAGCCAGTAGATGCCAACTGATGAAATCCTTCTCTGCCATGTTATTCAAAATAATTTTTCAGGAGTCCAGCAAATGCCTTGCAGAAGGAGAACCTCTTTGCTGCACCAGGAGTTATGTGGTCCTTTCAGCTTTTCCACTAGTAAGCCTGGCACTGAGACCAGTACCAGTTTTTATACGGTTGTGTGCAATAAATAAAACTAAAAATGCCAAAGTGACAGGATCCTTCATCCAAAATCAGTCATGCTCCTTTAAACAAACCAGGCATTATTCACCACTTCACCACCACAAGGAAAATTGATTTGTATGCTGGAAATGACCACAGCATTTAACGGACTCCCGTGGTTCCTATTTGGGGGCATTAAAAAATGTAGCACCTTTTCTTTGGCATGTTTTTGTTTAAGTGTGAAAAAATGTGATGGAAATGGAGAACATGTGGCTAATGGTTTACGCTCCTTGATTAGACATGGAAAGGCTGTGAATTCACACTCTTAAATGTCTTTTGGACACAGTCACCTTCCTTATTTGCCAGGAAATTCACACACACAACTGCGTCAGCCCAGTCCGAAAAATCCTTCCAAGAGCAATTAGGAAACAAAAGCACAAGAGGAGCTTTTGCATATGATCCTGACCCAATGGCTGTTTCTAACTATGCTTTTCATTCACTAAAAGAAAAATATTGAGTTTCTGTCAGTTGGCCAACAGTGGAAGCAGACTGGGTAAGTAGCTCTGAAAAACTGGGTTGAATTCAGATTCACAGAGCCCCATTTCTCAGCATTAGTTCAACCTACTCAGCCAAGCGATATTTTTTCCCTTGAGTTCTTGGTGTTTTGCTAAATGCAACTGCCAAACCAAGTTTTATATCTTTGCTGCCAAGTAAATATAAATTTACCAGGGACTTATTTCAGACTAAAAGAATCAAATTATATATGTATAATAATATCCTTATTATATTTTTGAACCACCCACTAGTATCCTCTAGAAAGCCACAACTGCAAAATGCAGTTGTGCAGATGAATCTACATACACATGCACACCCAGCCTTCCAAAGAGCAAACAGCTCCTTGGTCTGTGAGCAACACTTCACCAGTACATGGCTACAGCATTACTGAAGGCACCAGCCCCAGGGAATGATCTCTGGCCCAGCAATGCGGTGGACTGGCTGATAGCCATGTTGTGCAAGGCTGACCACCCTGCCTAGTGTTTGGCTGGGGCTCCTCTGTGACCTCTGGGGTGCTCTGTGGCCCTAAATTATACCACTTTTTTTCAATTTTCTTTTTCTTCCTGTTCAGTTTCTGACAAAATATGAAGTTTGTGGTGCAGGGTGCTACAGTGATTGTTTGCAGAGCATGAGGCTAAGGTTGCATGAGCACCAGGGATGGTGATGAAGGTTTCATCCATCCAAAAGGTAGTCTCTGAAGCTAATGATCCACAGGTATCACCCAGGCTTAGTTCTGTGAGGGAAAATAGACAGTGCACTCCAAAAGAGATGCTGGGAACCAAACAGGACATGACCAATGAGAAGGCCAAGACCCACCAGTGAAATGAGGTGCTAAGTTATTCTATAATGTAAAAAGCCTTAAGCCTACCAGCATGCTATGGCAGCAAAACGTAACAATGCAGGCACTGCTAAACAGGGGAAATAAGTTACATCTGCTAGAATGCCCCAACTTCATTGACTGCAGCTACAAGGGGCAGCCATTATGTGTCTTCACTGCCTCATTCATCACTTCACTCATCACCCCATTGATGAGATGGGGGTGAGGTATGAAGCATCTGAAGAAACAAGCCCTAATCTTAATCCTTGTGAAGTCATGGGAAACCCTCTTTTTGACCCCAAGTAAAGAGAATAAGGCTCAAGCAGCAAGGATTTTGAAAGGGGCTGTGGCTTTCCTGTCTAAATGGAAGATGAGCCCAGAAGGGAGGTTTGTGATGTGAAGGCTTTTCATCCAGACCCTTGTAGATGCTGGAAGGGGTACAGAATTGATGGTTGCTGAACGATGGTGAGAAAGCACTCTCTGGTTTATATTCAGCTCCTTTCTTTGGGAGACAGCAGGTCACGTCACAGGAGAAGGTGTTGACGGAAGATACAGTGGAGAGGGGTGAGCAATGCTCCCTTGGGGTAGGTCTGCCAGTGGCACAAGTGCTGGGCAGGGTGTCAGTGTCAGCCTGTACCCAGCCACTTTCCTAGGTTATTTCCTATTTAACAGTCCACAGAGAGGAGTGTGGGGCTGCATCAGGCCCCCAGAAAGGCAATGCCAGCCCCCATGGACCCCCATGGACAGGCGGGGTCTGGGCTGAGCCAGTGCAGGGGCAGCACTTGGAGCTGGTAGGAGCAAAGGCAGCCAAGGGCAGGTCTTCCCTTTTTCGCCTTCTCCACCAGCCAAGGATGGTGTAGGAGCAGAGAACTCGGCTGCTGTGGGCTCAGTGTTTCCCCCCCGAGGATAAACATGACCCACAGCCTGAGCTGGGGTGGCTCCTGGTTATCTCAGCCCCCAGGCTTGCCAGAAGGAGCTGTGCCTCCTGGCTTATGCTTTTGTTGTATTTATCTCCCTTATTTCGGAGCTCTAATGGCAGGAATCTTAATTCAATTTCAGTGAAATCTTGGATTCTCAGGCCAGATGTTCAGGACCATTCAATAACACTTCATAGATTAGCTCTTGAGCCTTGCTTCAGTGTCTAAATATTAATTAACTAAATAGCCTTGCAGAAGAGGCTCATTAGTCTATACTTTATGACTACTGAAAATCCTGATTTTTAAAAAATGCAAATATTCCAGTTATTTCCCTGGGCAAGGAGAGATGGAAAGGAATTTACTGGAAAGTGAAGCAAGACTTCTGAAAACACAGTTCCAGATTTTGGAAGCTGCTGCCACCAAAATGGGATTTCTTTTTCAAGGAGAGAGGATTTTCTTGGTAGGAAGGGAGTGTGAAAACCCTGGACTCTGTAAAATTGGGAATGACTCGGAGACAAACATTAATTTATCTCGGCACTTAATAATTTGATTCAGCAAGTGCTGGGGCAGCACCGATGTTTTCAGCTGCTCTTAGGGCTTTCATGGCTTTCCAAACTCTGTTCCAGGAGCTTCCTGTGGCAAATGTTTCCAACATGAGTAATGAACATCCACAGCACCCATGTCCCAAAGGGAGGAGGAATAAAACCAAAGAGATTTAGGCTTCAAAGCCCCCATCTATCATTTCATGCAAAAGCTGAAACAAGCATGTTTCTTGGCAGCTATTAGAGGGAAGAAAGATTCCCTTCCTCGTTTTCTAATAGAGTCCACCTGGTTCCTACCCATCACTGCTTTGGTGGTTTGACGCTACACATATTTTTTTGGTCCAAAATGAATCTAAAATAACAGGACATCAAAATAGCAGTGCTTTGAATTAACTTTGTACTGGAATGAAGCGCTGGAAGTGCTTCATGCTCAGAAGAACAGATCCTACTGATCTGGAGATGAGAAAAGGACTGACCTAGAAGGTTTGGTTTTGCTTTTAGTTGCAGAGCTGGTGTGTGTTGCAGGAGTGCTGACAGAGGATAAAACCTGACCCCCTCCCTACCTCCTCGCTGTGTTTGCACTCCCAGCATCACCCTTCCAGCCGTTGCTAGCTGAGCTCAAGCACAGCCGTAATTACCTTTCCCTGTCGGTCCCTGGCAGCAGGAGATGCCTCTATCTGGCAATCAGCAGTTTAAGATGAAGTGAAGCACATGGATCTGTTTATGTCAGATAAGGAGATATCAGCTAAAGTGCAGTAACTTCTGGGTGAAAGCTGCTTCCCACCTTCTCTGCCAGCAAAACTCTGCTCTGTGAGAAAGGGGGCTCTTATTATTATGTTATTCACACTGACATTAGGAAAGTGAATTATTAATGAGGTTATTATGTAAAACTGCAGGCCATGACTTCAAGAGGCATCAAAATAAAATTATAAAAATTAAAAAAAAAAACAAACCTGCTGTGGCCTAGGCAGGATTGAGTCCCTAATTAAACATTTACAGTTCCTTCACTTAGAAATAATCCCGTTTGCAGTGATAACTCCCCCATACCAGTCACAGAGATAATCTGCACCTGCTATTTCACAAGCATTCTCCACTGAGCCATACTCAGCGTGGCTGCAGGGAGAAAATGGCTTTCAAGCCTTCTCCCACCTCTGTGCCGACCACTGCAAACCCACAGGAACAAGTGAGGTATTTTCACTGAAGGCTTCTGTGATGGGCTCCTTGTTTCTACAGGAGCTTCGGGCAGTAATGGGGATTGAGGCAAAACCCACCACCCTCCTCCCCGAGGGAGCCTCCACAGAGATGGACTACCAAGGGGAAGGCAGATTCATGGGGCTTTTCCAAGTGTTGTGCACCCAAAAAGGGCTTACAGTCACAACCTTTGCAACATATTCTCCATGGCTGAACACTTTCTTCCCCTCCAAGCCACTGCCTCTGAGCTCTTGTGGACAGCGATGCTGCAGTGAGGGCTTTCGGCAGCCTGTTTCGTGACACCCAAGCTGTGTGTCGTTTGCAGTTACACCGGTTCCTCGGAGGTATGTAGCACCTTTGTAGGTGTTTTCCTCACTGGTTACAGGAAGCTACTGGTAGCTGTCGGAGGAGGAGAGTGGGGCAGATCCAGCTCCATCACGTGGCTTCTGCCCTCACCTGAAGCAGATGAGTCTTCAGAAGCGTCTTGATCCTCCCTAACTTTGCCTTTGCCATCAATCCGGAAATCCCCTTGCCTTGCTTGACACTGCCATTGTCTTTCCAATATAATAGGAGAGCTGGGGCTGAGGTCCTGCCCCTCTTCTACCCTCCACCACCCCGTGGGCCTCCACAGTTTCCCCGGGGAGGTGCCCTGCGGTGATGTGCTCTAGCATCCCTGGACTGCCACTGCTACCTCATCCCTCCACTTTTTACAGCCTAAAAAACATCCTTCCCACCCTCCATATGCCTAAACTAAGGGGTCCCCTAACTGAAAGGGTCAGCCATGGGCAGAAACTGAGGCCTGAGCTCGCAGCTCCCAGCAGAGCTGCAGGCCGGGTGATGCTCCAGAGCACAGCACAGCCTCTGCCCGCCCCTCGGCACTAACCCTCGCTCCAAAATACGCACTGGAGACACAGACCCCTTCATTCCGTCCATGCCATTTT